AACTAGCCCTCTGCCTCTGCCTCTGCCTCTGCCTCTGCCTCTGCCTCTGCCTCTGCCTCTGCCTCTGCCTCTGCCTCTGCCTCTGCCTCTGCCTCTGCCTCTGCCTCTGCCTCTGCCTCTGCCTCTGCCTCTGCCTCTGCCTCTGCCTCTGCCTCTGCCTCTGCCTCTGCCTCCTGAGTGCTGGGATTAAAGGCGTGTGCCACTACCGCTGGGCTTTACTCTTCTTTATAAACCGAATTCCCATTAATTTAATTTTCTTCCCCAGAGTAATAACAGTGATGGTAATAAGCTTAGTCTTAGGTCTTCTGGTGTCAAATCCAGTGTTCTTTTAAGATATTATGAAATCTTTTTGTTTTCATACTATATTGTCAACATATTTTATGCTATCTTCTGTTGTTTTCTAGGGCATAAGCTCAGAGAATGACAAGAATTCTAAACCCCAATTACCACAGCACTTTAAAACTTAGTTCTTATAGTTCACTGAAATCCATGGAGTTTGAGTCAGGAAATAAACAGAACAATCATAGCAAGGCTAGAGCTTGTCAGTATTTCTGACTTTTGATAAAATTTTTATAAGGTTATGTAATTCAAGAGTGTAAAAATGTAATCATTCTTGGCAACTGAGTCTTTGGTGCAAAATTAAATTAACTTGATTTTCTATCTTTTGACATTGAGAACTCTAAAACAGGCATTATTTATAACATCATTTGGGCTTATTGCAAAATCTCTAATGGTCCATTTTAAATTTGTAAATGTCGTACCCCAAATCCAGGAGAACAGAAAAGTAATAAAAGTGTCATGTTAACCACAATAGTGGTTAACAAATATTTTTTTTTTAAAGAAATGTACTGAATGTCTAACATGCAGATAAACCTGCCTTGAAAACCAAAATTGAGGGCTAGAAGTGTAGTTCATTTGATAGAGTGATTGCCTAGGCTATACAAAGGCCTGGGTTCAGTCCCCAAAACCATAAAAACCAGATATTGTAGTAGCCCATGTTTGTAATGCCAGCACTGGGGAGGTGGAGGCAGGAAGAGTTGGAGTCCAAAGTCATCTTCAGCTACATGGGAGTTTGAGACCTTCCTGGACTACATGAGATAATGTCTTAAAAAATAATACTAGCAACAATAATATCCCAATTTTAGAAAATCCTGGGGTATAATTGAATATGAAACAAAAATCAGAGTTCAGGAACACAGTAAACAATGCCATGGAGGCCATGTCATCAAACGAAGAATGCAGGAAACTTAAAATGGGAAATTATTTAGTTGTGTCAACCAATAAGTAGCAAGAGGGGAGAAATCTGTTATGGGATGAAGGAGGCTTAAGGGCCACATCATCCAAGTGCTCTTCTTGGATTCCTGTTTTCTCAACTTAATCTGAGTTCACAGGCTCTGTGCTTTTGATGGCCAGACCCAGGCTGGCATGCATCCTAGCAGGGGTCATCCACATACCCTTCTTGTTTTCTGGTGATAGTAATGACACCTAGACCATGCCATACAGCTGATCCCATTTGTAACAAGTGGCTGGAATAGTGCATGCATTGGCACTACAGTTTTCAAGTTGAGTCACTATAATTAGTACCACATGGGGCCACTGCCCCCGAGCATTGAAAACAAAGAGATGCTTGAGAGACTTGGAGTTGGATCATTTTAGTATCATCCATATTAGAATACTGTTCTAATGACTTGATTGTGCCTTGGATTTGAAATGAGGGCCCTTTGGATGAAAATTAGGACAATAAAAAATGAAGAAATAGGAAACCTAGATTATATCTCCTGTTTTGATTTATAGAAGCAAATGTTTTAATTTGGGAACTTCGACTTCTTCTTGGAAATTTAGTGACCAGGGTTGGGTTTATTGTGTTCTGATTTACAGCTTCTCCTTTTCTTTTGGCTGTTATTTCATTATGTGGATTCTTACTTAGGTTCATTGCAAAACCCTTGATGATCTATTTTGCACAACACAGCTAAGCAGAAAGTAAGGTAGTGACTAAACCAGCCAGCTATTCTTGCACAGTTCATCATGGTGTTGAACTTAATTGATTCCCCATATTGCCTCATCTAGAACTTTCTAGGGGCTCCATTTGGTGACACACGATGGGTACTATTGGCCACACAAGTAGCTTCATGAATATAAAACTTCAAATAAATATTTGTTATTTCCAAAGTGAGCTTCATCATTAAGTGCAGTGTGCTGAGAGACGAAAATGAGTTGAGATTACAGCAGAGCTAGTCCATGCCACACTCTTAGGTTCTCCCCAAGAGGTAAGGCTCAGCCTCCATTTTCAGTATTGACAGACATCTTCAACCCTTCCTTTCACTTTTCCTCTACTCCCAAAGGAGGTTCTAAGTGCCATCCATGTCTTTTTGGTTTGCATTGAGATGTCTAGTTCTGGTATCTCCTCACTCTGCTTATGTTTCATCATAATACTTAGCACCACTTGACAACTGTGGGTTCCTTTATTTATTTGTGTCTTGATTGTCCTTCTCCCTGAGATGGAAACACTTGCTTTGTTCATTACTACAGGCTAACTTATGCATATGCTTGTCTGTGTCTATCTCCAGATGGGCCCTGGTACAGGGTAAGTAATCAATAAATCTTTATTAAATGAGTGAGTGAGGGAGCTAGTGGCTTTTCTGGTGAGATCAGGCAAATGAAGTTATCTGTAATATGTTTGTCTTAGCCCTGCTGGATCACCTCTCTCGGCTATCCTGCCTATATGAAGGGAAAGAGCTTTGCCACGTGGTTGAAAGTTTACCAGGTCAGGATTTCTCTACCTAAACATTAAGATGTGAAATGTGAAACATAGGGACAATAAGAATGAAAAATGGAAGTTATGTTATTCAATCCAGCTTTATCAGCAACGAAGCTCAAGTGTTTTTACCCATCTGTATTTGTTTCCAATTCTAAATGTGAAAGATGAAGATGGGCTGAGAGAAATTCCAACCATTTAACAACTATCTACCACAATCCCAGCAGCTGCAATCAACAATAAAAGTCAGACTAACTTCATCCCCTGCAGTGATGAACTTGGATGTAGTTCATCGTAAAGCCCATTGTGTTAGTGGGTAGCCACAAACTGAAATGCATTCTAGGTCATCAGTCCAAAGCACAATGAGATCTGTTTCTTAGCCAATAAAATGAATTTGTTTTCATGTAAGAAAATGCTTTGTTATATAAACAAGTAAACTGCTGAATAGGAGTTTGGAATTATTTAATAATTTGGGGAAACTTTATAACTATTCTGATTGTATACCACTCCTCTTGGTATGGAAAATATTATTTATCACTGTTCTCTCTCATTCATGTTCTCATGAGCAAGTATGACATTATTCACCAGCACCATGAAAAACAGACATAGGCAGTGTTTAAACCCTGGGTTTTTTTCTTAGGGAATCTATTCACACACTTTGGACTTTATGTCTCTTGGACAAGTTTTCAGACCTCTCTGAAAGTTGGGGATCAGACATCAAAATTGTGCTTAAGCAGTCATCGATTTCAAAGTTGTTTATAACAAACACAGCTGTACTCTTTCTGTCCCCACGCTGAACACCTCCATTTTTCAAATTACTTTCAGACCTATAGTCAGTCCTGTGGTTGTTATTTTAAAGGGTGGTCTGTATTCAGGAGAAAAGGCCATCATACAGCCTGAAATTGTTCTTGTAATGTCATGGAAAAGTCAAGGACCAGGAGAGCTAGATCAAGTCCAGAAAGGACAGATGCTCTAGTGGTTAGAGTGTAGCCCTTTTGTTGGTAAGAGGGCAGGTTAAGAAGGATTCTCAAGTTTGGACCATTTCTATTTCTGAGTGTTATTTCAAAGGATACAGTGACATCTGTGAATTTTATTTTCTCTTACTCGTTCCCTTCTGTATTATTTTCTACCTTTCCTTGAAGAGGTTTTTGTTTGTTTGTTTGCTTGTTTGTTTATTTTGTTTTGTTTTAAAGTTTCAACCAATCAATTGCTGGCAAGAGTAAAGGGAAAAGGGAGACGACGGAAAACTGACCCAGAGCACCAGGTTCGAATGCTTTTACTTGATTTGTGCTGTAAACCACCTACTATCTAGAAAGAGGAAAACATTTCAAATACAGATTAGGAATCCCTTACGGTTTAGATCTAACTGTCCTCCACATGTTCGTGTGATGGAACACTTTGTCTGCAACTGGTAAGGCTGCTTGGGAGGTTTGGGATTCTTCTGTATTTGAAGACTATTTTATTATTTTAATTATGTGTACATGTGTGGGCATGTATGTGGTATGTGCAACTATGAGTGCAGGTGCCTGAGGAGTCCAGAAAAGGATGTCAGATTCCCTGGAGCTGGAGCTAGAGGCAGGGATGCGCCTCTCAATGTAAACAAAAGTTGGGACCTCTGTAAAAGCACTACATGCTCTTAACTACTGAGCCATTTCTCTAACCAAGGGGTCTGGAGTCTTTAGGACTTGTAGGTTAGCTAGCAGAACTGGGTCTCTGGGGGCAGACCTTGACAACTGTACACATTTTGTGGTACTAGTTCAAGCTCTCTGCTTCCTGGTCCACTGTGATGCTAGGGCCTGTCATCTCACACTCTTGCAGCTCCAGATGGAGTCAGACAGCAGCAGTGATGTCTTCCCTGACAAGATGGCTTGCATTCCCTGGATCTCTAGGCAAATGAAACCTCTAGGCAAACTGTGTGACCTGAGAACTTGTGGTTTTTATCCTCAGATCAGCATAGTTTGGGTAAGAAGAGCATGAAGCATAGCCTTAGGCAGACAAGGTAATTTCATGATGGGAACACTTGTTGGACATGAGGATTTTCCTAGACAAATTTCATTTCCAGCTGCTTTTTCTTCCTGAATATATTTCATGAAATATACATTTCCATGTCAATTAAAATAAAATCCCTTTTTAAAAGTCAAGTGAATTCTTTTCTTTTTTAAAACCATTTTATTTTTGTTGACTTAGAGAAAAATGCATTAAACTCTTTGTTGAATTGAAATGTTGGCAACCAAACACCTAAGTCAGCACCTTGAAGATTTAACAGTTCTCCAAAATTTTAACACATTCCCCCCAAAAAGAAATTTCTGTTCTGACCTGTGTGGGTTAATTCTCTTGTCTATTCTTTTCATTTAACTTCATGTTGTGATTTTAGAATTTGGAATGCATGATTCCACCAGGTCTCTGGATTCAGTGTTTCCTAAGAAATGTGACTGGTCAATAACCTGAGTCTACAGGGAAGCAGCCCATCTTTGGGTGCCCTGTTTAAGGCTATGGCTTCTTATTCCCACATGTCAGTTGTCATTTCTTGGCAAAAGAATAGCACTTAAGGTCAGGAAAATAAGCCACTGAAATAAATTTTGCATGTAAAAAGAAGCAGCAAGGTGGAAATAAGACGGGGGAAATACCTTTAGTGTCCTGCTCAGGTTCACTGTCTTCTGTTAATATGAAGAGGACAAAACAGACACACAACAAACACAAACAAAACAATGCATCATGAGAAGGGATATCTTAGACCACAGCACATCAATTGTGCACGAATGATTAGAATCTATTTGTTTCTTATTTCAATTTCAATAAGAAACAAATGCCATGAAGGGAAAGTGCTGACCTTTTTTTGCAAGCAAACTATGCTATGGCATAAGATTCCAAATTGTAGTCAGGCAGTATTATACAGAAAATAAACTACGCATACCCGAAGACGCAGCTCATGCATGCATTTTTTTTTAATGTGGACAAGGACAATCCCCCCTTTCTTTCAAGGCAACACAGTCCCTACTATTCCAGTGAATTTTGTTCCTCTGCTAGCTTGGCTTCTCGTCTTACCAGGCCCTGCTGTGAAGTCAGTGCTGTGGACTGTGGGATCTCAACTATCATTTCTATGGCAATAGACTTGTGTTGTGGTAAACAGGGGATTAGGGGGTTTCTGCAGATCCAAGGCCTACCACCAACAAAGATCTGCAGCTTTCATTTAACCCCCAGAGGCAGCTAAGATATTAGAGAAGAACAAAGCATTCTGGGAACAGACTAGATAAGGTTGCTCTGACAGAAAACACAAAAAAATAAAAAATAAAATAAAATAAAAAATAAATAAAAACACAAAAAAGGAAAAAAGAAAACAAAACAAAAAAATCTAAAACTCTAAACTGGATAGAAATGATTGAGAATTTCTCCTTTTAGAAACCCTAGCCAAGAGAAAATACAAAACAAATTAGTTGTTCTAAAACCTATACTATGACTAGATCACATGCAAACACCCACACAGAGCCCTAATTTCCTTTCCCAGAGCTTATTTGTTCAAGTCTATTTAGACCTTTTAAAGAATTAACTAGAGAGAAGTCAGTTGTAGTATGTGTTTATATGTCAAAAATAGTGATGCCATTGGTCACCACTGTTTCTGGCAAGATAGATTTATATCGTGCTTCATAGACGGCAGATATTTCCAAGCACACCTTATATCACTCATTGAGCTCCCACCTGTATCTCAGATTGGACATCATTGATGTGACTGGATCTATTTTATATAAAAAAATGACCTAAGACTCAGGGATATACTGGCATGGAGTCCGTTGCTCTAACCTCATGTCATACTGGTATCTCCATCTAATACTCCATACTCAATCCCCTTAAAGTAAAATGTGTGTAAAGTCTCCTAGTAGATTTGACTCTGTCTGAACTTTCCTGCATTTAGCTTTATTTTCTTGCTTTAAGAATCCAGGCTAGCTGGGCGGTGGTGGTGTGCGCCTTTAATCCCAGCACTCAGGAGGCAGAGGCAGGTGGATCTCTGTGAGTTCCAGACCAGCCTGGTCTACAAGAGCTAGTTCCAGGACAGCCTCCAAAGCCACAGAGAAACCCTATCTCTAAAAACAAAGACAAAAGCAAAACAAAACAAAAGAAGAATACAGGCTAGGGGCTACTTATAGTTTATAAATTGATGCTAACTACATTAAAGGATGTTTGGAGGTTGTCTGTCACACAAACCTTGAATCTAGATGAAAAAAATTGTTTTTTTTATGACATTCCTGACAGCACCAGGTAAAGCACAGAATACATGTTTGTTTCTTCTGTACTAGACACTTAGAAACTAGAGTCCCTGTTTTGCTTATGTTGCATTTTTATTGTTTGTCTTGTTTGGGGACAAGGTTTCACTGTGTATCCTAGGCTATGCTTGGAGCCTTGTCTCCCCTTCCTGAGTGCTAGGACTTTAGGTATGTTCTACCATGCCTAGGAAAGAGTCCCTGCTTGTAATTCAGACATTACCAGAAGAGATGAACAGAGGTCCAACATTGGGCCATGTTGAGTCTGACAAATTGTGAAAGGATGCCCCCCTCCAGACACACACTGCAGCCAAACAGAACCAGCTGAAGAGATGCAACAGTGTCTGTGACTATGCTGTTTTCCAAAGAGCAAGCTTAGAGGTTGGCCTGGGAATTTCACTTTTATACATACACTATGAAAGTTCCTTTCCATGCAGAGATGCAGATATCCACAAATGTCTTAACATGCTTTGTCATTAATACACACATATATAAATACATGCATATACAACTGAGGGTCTCAGAGAAAACTATGAATGGCTAATCTATGAGAACCTATTAAAGTTTGTACACACACACTCTGTGGGTCAACCTACTGGCCATTTCAAGGTCAGATTGCAGCCCTAAATTCTCCTGGTGACCCAGGTGTCTGTAGTGATTCCTTGTGACTTCTGAACTTGTTTTCTGACAGTTTTGAATATCCCATCTAATCCCATCTTCGTTCCGATTTAACTGTTAAATTCTCATCTAATTGCTTTACATGTTGTGCTTTGTCTTGTCTTCCAATAGATTTTTAATCTCTTATGGAAGGCATAATATTAGAAACAGGGTTAGCAGCAAACTTCTGTTACTGCTTTTTTTTCTTGAAGTACAGAATTGTCTCTTAGAGAAAATAAATGCAATATCATTTTTTAAAAGTTATTAGCCACTCTTCTTGTCTTGAGTTACTCAGAATTCACTAGTATACACGATGAGTCTAATAACTCTAGGGAAGGATTGTATATGCTGTATTTCCATGAATATAAATCTACATGTTTTCATTTGTAGTTGTGTGATATGGTCAGCCAACTGATGCCAGTGAAAATCTCAAATATCTGCCACTCAATTTTATTCTTTTTCTTATTAAGGTCTATCTCCCCAAATTTATCTATATATGTGAATTTGTGAGATTATTCATCAGTTCATCAAATGAAGAGAAAATTGGAAGGGTTATCAAAAGTTATGCAGGAAGAAGAAAAGTGAAGATCCCCTGAGAAAAGATAAAAGGGATAAACTTAGTAAAGTCACACAGGCCATGTAGACCCTGTGGAGTGAATGAAGACCCAGAAAAAAAGCAGACAGAAATATGAAGATAGCATGAAATCTTCTGGCCTCAAGAGGGATAGGAGCCAGGAAGATAACAGGAATTTGACTGGTAAAGTTGAGGTCTCAGAGAGCTGAACACACACATTCTCTCTTCCTGGTTGGATGGCACTGAGGCCTTCTTTTTCTGGGAAGTAATTATCATGAGAAAAAGTATGAAAAGAAGGCAAAGTGCACTTGGAGGAGAAGCCAGCTGTGGCCTGGCCAGCTCTGTTGGAGTGTGTTAGGTATTTTAGAGAAGTTTGAGCCATAGTAAAGTACTAAAATCATGAAGGGAAAGAATCTGATATTTGTGAGATGCTACTTTGAACATGAGCATTTTGAAGTTTCCAGGTCTCCTAGTCCTATTTTTAGCTCAGTGACTAGGACCCAGTCAATACAAATGACATAGCACATAGAGACAGCACAGAAATTAAAGCAAGCTCTCCATTTAGGTTACCTGTTTACAAGTCCACACTATACAATAAATTCACAGTGGGTATTCCTACTACAAAAGATGTTATTGTGTGTGTGTGTGTGTGTGTGTGTGCGTGTGTGTGTGTACCTGTACTTGCATTACCTGTATATATGCCAGCTAAAGTTCCCTCTGTTTTCTAGATGGATAAAAAAGCATGCCTTTAACTAGCACTTCCTCTCTTCACACAATAACACACACTCTTACTTCTTACTCAGTCCATGAAATAGAATTTTCATGAGGATGGAATTGCAATTCCACCTTTTGGCTAGGGTCAAATGTATATAATGATACAAAAACATAGTACGGAGACTGTATTTGAGGTAGTTCTGAGTTCACAATTCAAAATCATGTCATTAGGACAAACACATATCAGTAGCAGTAAGAATGTCAACACTAAACTAGTATCTCAGTCAACAAGAAGACAGGCAAAACACACTAGATAGGCAGGAATTGTTGAGTCTCAATAGCAGTTGAGGTCTGATTATAGATAGATGATAGATAGATAGATAGATAGATAGATAGATAGATAGATAGCAGTGTCTATCTGAGGTTGAGATGAGCAGCTCATGCTTGAAAACAAAGGCAAGGATGAGGTACCCTTCCTTGGGAGAGGAAGGGGGAACATTTCCAGTATTGTAGAATTTGGATACCTGTGGGACTTCTGGGTTGGACATTGCAGGTTGGGGTTCTAAATTCTGCTCATAATATCTTTATTAGGAAAAGGGAACTGGGAAGCTTTCTGAGGGCAACCTTCAAAGTTACTAAAAAATGGGAAAATATTTTAAAGGAAGAATAATTAGGAGTGACAATCCATAATTTCATAGGACATTGGGAATAAAAATGCTAAGAAATCTAATGCAAATAGTAACTAGGTGATAAACCACTCTGGAAGAAAATAAAACATCATAAAAAGATAGTACAAAACTCAACAAATAAGCCATAGCATTAAAAAGTATGGGCAGTGATGAAATGAAAGGCAAAGCTAATTACAAATTAGTAATAATGAAGAAAGCAATACAAATGCTAGGAATTAAAACACAATAAAAGTTTTTAAAAGAAAAAATAGAATAGCTAAAATTCACCTACATATGACATGTATAATGAATTTGGACTTGGCCAGGGCCGACTGAAGAATCAGTGAAAAAGAAGTTGATACTTAAGAAACTGTGACGCCTTCAGTGCATAAAGATAGGGAAGGGAAGCCATGAAAGAACAGAAAGATGTTAGACGAGATTCTAGGCCCTCCTGACATTACAGGACCATGACAGATTTAAAAGAGGGGAGGGGTATGTGAAGAGATAATGTGGGAACTGTCCCAATTTGTAGCAACATCTACATCTCCAGAAGCACTAAACATCAGTGTGGTGATGAGTTTCTGATTTTAAAAGCCACAACTAGCGATCCAGATGTTTAGTGCTTCTAGAGATCTAGATGTTGCTACAAGATGAAGTTGTGGCTTTTCAAATCAGAAACTCACCATCACTTGTGAGGCTTTTAGAAATGCACTGCAGGCAACATGACCTGCATGGCAGAATAGGATGGTTTTGCTTAGGTCTCAGAGCTCTTTCTTTACAGTAATGCT